CTTAAAAATGTAATAATGGAAAACAACATAATTAAAACAAGTTCAATTTTGTAATGAAATCCATTAGGAACTCAGTCTTATTTTTATTTTTTTTATCAGCCAAAATTATTATTGTGTTACTAAACAATGGGTACAAGCGGTACCCATTGCATAAACATGCAAGGAAACTCAGAATTACAACTCATAAAACTCAAGAAATTCAACATGCATAACCTGACTCACAAAAAATAAAAATAAAAATAAAAACTCGGGAACCACTCCCTAATGGTCTAACATTCTCCTCAAGATTATCAGTAAAAACTTAACCAAATTATTACTCAATAATTAAAAACCTTTATTTTTTTTATTTTTTTTTTTAAACATAGGTAATTTTTGGGGAAGGGAAAAGGGAAAGGGAAAGGGGTGGAGATTGAACCCCACGCACCCTTAGGTGAGAAGCCTCTAACAATATTGTGGTGGCCACTTGCGCCACCGTGGGCTTCTCCAATAATTAAAAACCTTTATATTTAAATAGAATTAAAAATTTAAATCTTTATAATTATTCGTACGTTTAAAAGTTTATAATTAAAAAAAAAAAATACTGAATGCTATATCAATCAGTTCTAACTGCAAATTGACAAGAAAAATTGGCCTGGGAACTGATGTCAGATGGGAGACTAACATATTTCATATGTGTCATCTTAATAGAGGTAGATAGGAATCGTGTCTTAATAGAGGTCAGATACACGTCGCTTTCCATTTTCATTGCTATGTCCTCTCAACAGTGACTGTGTAATAATCAATTCTCAACCACACATGATACGTCGTGGAAAATTGTGGGGAGTTGTTACGGAAATTTCAATTATAGTCTGCAGTTGCCTTTAACCGGTTAGTTCTACTTTGACCCTCAAACTTTAAATTTTTAATGTTAAAGACTTTCAATGCAATAAAAATGATTTCAGGCCCTCAATTGGTTTTTTTTTTTTTTTTGAACAGGTTGATAAAGAATCGGGTCAAACCCGAGAGGGAGGGGGAAGTGCACCGTGAGGTGGCTCACTAATGCCACTTGATCTGCAGAGATCGATGCAATTATGCAAACCCTCAATTGTTTTAATATATATTTATACACACAAACGAATATTAGTATAGTGTAGGGTTGTTTTTTAAAATTATTATAAAAACATTTATTTAAAAGTTTATATTTTGATAAATATTTTTAAAAATTAATTATTAGATTAAAATATTTTTTCATGTTAATTTAATATTTATAATTTTTTAATAAAAAAACTCTATTTATTAATGTGTCATTAACAAATTAGTTAGACTTATTAGATCAATTTTAAAATCAATATACATAATATATATGAATAGAA